GGGATCAGTTTATTGTATGGAGCGCGTCTGTCAGTCAGCGCTTAAACATGCATTCACTGGTTCAGAGGTTGCAAAGTGAAAGGCGACAATCAGCGCACAGTAATGTAAAGAAAGTGGGATAGAATGGTAAAATATGGGAGAATTTCAGCAAAAACGGGAGGGTTTACGTGAGTGCAGTGAACAGGAAGTGTTTGTGGAGAAACAGTTTTGCGAGAGAACGCAAAACATCTTTGCGAGGGAACGCAAAACATCTTTGCGAGATAACGCAAAACATCTTTGCGAGGGAACGCAAAACATCTTTGCGAGGGAACGCAAAACTTTGCGAGAGAACGCAAAAAACTTAGAAATATATATTTTCCTCCCACCCATTTTTTTTCTATCACCCATTATTTTTTTTTACCCACCCATTTTTTTTCTCCTCCACTACGTCCCTTCCGGGGTTCCGTACCGTCCACACTATACCGCTGAAAATGCACATCACATGACCACACACACTCTGTGCTTCACACGTCTGAGCTTTAGGCAGTCAGCATATGCTTTAAACACAAAACCCCAGAGAGCAGTGCACGTCAGGCAGTTTATCAAGGATAAATCACTGGATCGGGTCTCATTGTAGTTGTTAAACATGATATTTAATTTATTTTGTCTATCTAACGACTCTTCTGTCTTTTGAATCTATCAGGTAACGTGTCAGCATCAGTACACTGCTTCATTCTTTCGCTTTCACGCTTTTACTTAATAATTTTAGCAAAAACCTCAGATACTGTTGGTTGGTTGCTGTTGGTTGTGCTGTTGGTTGTTACTAACCAAGTTTCTCGACGCCATTATAGAAACACAGATTACTCTGCCTATTCATGCCAGAGTCCTAAGGAAAAAGTGATTGACAGGTGGTAACTTGTGTGTAACTTATCTTTATTTATTTATGATTTGGTTATGGGTAAAACAAAGACCATGCAGGTCAGGTAGTTGAATTGGTAGACTACAAATAATAAATTCATTATCATTCGTTCATTCATTCATTCATTCATTCATTCATTTTCTTTTTGGCTTAGTCTTTTTTTTATTCTGGTGTCGCCACAGCGGGATCAACCACCAACTTATCCAGTATATGTTTACGCAGCAGATGCTCTTCCAAACGCAATCCATCACAGGGAAATTAATTCATTATGAATTAATAAATTAATCATAAATAATTAATTTGACGTTGATGATGCCATTGTCCATCACGATGTTTCACATTATACATTGTACGATGACAAATTGGTCGACATCACCCAACCCCAATACAGGGGGGTAAATAATTCTGACTTCAACTGTAAGTATACATTAGATTACAGTGTAAAATTGAATACTTTTATTGTCACTTGTGCTCAGTTTTATTGGTGATGTCAATTTAGCAACCTGTGTGTGTGGGGGTGTGTCAAGTCTTAAGAAAAGGACAAAAAAAAAAAACTCTAATATTTTGAATTTGGACTGCAATACTCAAATCAACCACTAGGTTCTACATACAGCACCTTTAAGTTGAACTTTTGAGGTGAACTATGCCTTTATGTACAGTATATATAAAGAAAGCATTCAGTGACAATTCCAAGGTCAACCAACAACACATCAAAGTCCTCTACAAATATCTGTGGTCAAGAACTTCGGATGTCATCTCCATAGGCTACAAACACATATGCTGCAAAGTGATGCTTCTGCTGAAAAGGTTAACATGAGAAAGTGTGCTGCATTTCACAGAGCCTGTAATTTGAGCGTGAAAAGTGTGAGATGATAATTCATTATGTGCGTCAGGTTGAGTCTGGAAGAATGTGTGAAAGAGTAATGAAGGTTAACAGTCCGTAACAGGAAGTGTAAAGCGTGTCGCCGTCGACAGAAACCACAGGTCAACGAGCTCCAACACCTTCATGCTGTGCCTAAAATCAAGCTTGGCTCTATTAATCTGTGAATGTGAGGAGTGAAAAATGAAGAAATTAAGACCAAGCATAATTAGGAAGTTACTCAGTATCTTAAGAATGTAAGTGTAAAGTAATGTTTATTTTCTTTACTCAATCCTGGAGGCCTGGATGTCCTGGAGAAGTTGTGCTTAAATGCCTGTTCCCACCAAATTTAGATTATCCAGCAGAAGATTTCAAACACAATATTGCATCTTTATTAACAATTCAATCCCTGTCGAAAATAATGAATTGTGGTAATCCATCATTGGATTGGATCCAGAGTAGAGAAAATTCTCTAGTTATAGGTTTTGCAAACATTTCTTTTTTAAATGCGTTTTAATAGTTTTAGCTTTACATAGTCTGTGTTTATATATACACTACCTAACAAAAGTCTTGTCTTCGATCGCAGTTGTAAGAGCATTAAATAATTACTTGATCATTTGGGAAAGTGGCAGAAGGTTTTTCTTTTTTTTTTGTTAGATGAATCATCTGTTGAACTGCATCCCAATCATCACAAATACTGCAGAAGACCTATTGGAACTCACATGGATTCAAGATTCTCCCAGAAATTTGTCAAGTTTTGTAAAGGAAAAATTATGGTTTGGGGTTAAATTTAGTATGGGGGCATGCAAGAGATCTGAGTCTGAGGTATCAAGACATTTGTGCTGCCCATTACATTAGCAAACCACAGGAGAGGGCAAATTCTCCTTCTTATACTTCAGCCTTCACATCAAAGTTCCTGAAAGCAAAAAAGATCAAGGTGTTCCAGAATTGGCCAGACCAGTCACCAGACATGAACATTATTGAGCATGTCTGGGGTAAGATGGAGGAGTCCTGCAAGAACGCTTTCTTTGCCATTGCAGATGACTTTGATCTCTAGTCATTGCAGAGATGTATGGATGCAGTTAAGTCACAATACTTTTATCTAAGCAAAGTCAGATGTTACTGTCCTAATTAAATAATTAAAAATCAAGGCATATTTCATATAAAATAAGCGTAATCTAGAGGCCTTTGCCTTTCATATAAACCACTTCAGAAACCAAATGAACCAAATACCAAATCAACTAGAATTATTATTTCTTGTTCCTAAAACTTGTATAGGCAACAAGACTTTTGTCAGTTAGTGTATACATATACAGAGATTGAGATTGAGAGTGTATACACCTGAACTAAAGAATGGAAAACATTAGTGAAGCTAATATGGAAAGTGACTGAAACTGCAATTCATTGACGACCCACTGGGGGCTGGCTCCAAAAGAGCAATTTTCCATTGACTTTCATGTTAAAATGCCCAACTTTACAGCAGAAAAAGGTGTTTACAGCCTGCTACAAATGAATGTGGTGTTTATAGCTAACATTACCCTTCATGACTTTGATGGAGTTGAATTTTTTAATAACTCATCCGTTTAATTTATATTAAGCCTCACAATTCTGCATAATTATGGATGTGGTCACTTGATTGACAGGTCTCTGCTGCCCACCACCACATCACTGCAGCTCATTCATTGTGGTGTATTGTATACAACCAAGCAAATGAACCAAGAATCAGTCACGTTTAATAAAGTGTTATGCGTTTCACCCAAAGAAAACTGATCAAAACCAAGTAAATTACAATCAGGCATCTCCAGCTCCACCCACACCCCATCTCTATGTCCATTTTTTGGTTACCAAGGAACAAATCGTGTCTGAGTCTGCGAAATGATGTGCTTACAAAAAGGCAACTGTTGGCCCCGCCCACTTCTATCTTTACTTGCACTCTTCAGTAATCTCTGGGTGATATCACAGACACTACATCCTTTTTTTTCTATGCTTAGCACCCAAACTACAGGACACTGTGACAAAAAATGTGATTGCGGTCTACTTCCATGTGACTGAATAGGCACTGAAGCTCTTAAGCGTTTATTTAGCGACACGTCTGTGTGTACATGACGACTACAACTAAACCACAGCAGGAAAGCAGATTTCCAGAAACAGGACAGTGCATGGTTGCTTGACATCCTTGAACCTGCTTTAGGAAGCACATCCTTCAGGAAGTCATAACAAAAATGGACACCCAACAAGACTCATGTTCAAGAATGCAAAGCCCAGATGTCACGAAAACAGACGCCAAGCCAAAAAAGCCAAGTTATCTTCATTGAGCTTAATGATGACAAATGACAACAGAAAACAACACCACTGCCCCGTGACCCAAGCCAAATAAAGCATTATGAAAGATTCAGATTTAATAGAGCTGCGCAATCAGATTGTGTGTGCATGCTAGGCTAATTCACAGCAAATAATTATTCACTGCATTTTGACGTGTAATCTTATAACATAAATCACAATTTATTGTATTATTGAATATTAGCACGTCTAGACCAGGGATTCTCAACTGGTTTGGCCATGGGACCCACATTTTTACATGGTCATCAAGCCGCGACCCACATTTTTAGAAACTATTATATAATTTTAGGAATTATACATAATTTGTATTTATTTGTTAACATAAACAAGTAGTGACAGATAAATCATAAGAAATTCACCAAGACTTACAAATAAACAATATTTTATTGCTGTCATTTAACAAATTAGATCAAATTATAGAAATATCACAAAGTAAAAACGACAAATACTTTTAATAATAAACTGTTAATAAAACATATTTTCCGGTTTCTAAATGTTTTGATTTAGAGGGTTTCATGATCTCTCATGACAGCACCTCACTACATAAGACACTGAGGCTTTAGGTCTTTGTTGTCGTCAATATATATATATCCATACTTTACATAATCGGGGTCGAACTTGTGCTTTGACATATTTGTTGCAATAATTAAATGAAATTTCACATGTCAAACTGTAAGGTTGTTGCGCACGTATTTCAAAATAAAAGTCAGGTATAAGCAAAATAAGTATAAAATTGTAACTTTTTTTTTTTTTTTTTTACCACACACTCCGCGACCCACTGAAAATGTTCCCACAACCCACTTTTGGGTCGTGACCCACCATTTGAGAAACACTAGTCTATACAACACCTGATAAAGCAAGGTTTCAGAAGCTTCTAGGTTGTGAAAGTGGATTGATACGCACCACTGGGCCACGTCGACCCTGTTTGATATGCGACAGGTCAGGGGAGGGTCCAATGGGTCCCATGTCACCTCTGGGACCAGGTAAGCCTGGTGGCCCCATCTGTCCAGGAGAGCCAGAGGATCCTTTGGCTCCAGGCGTCCCTGAGAGACAATATAAAGTGAGAAGACTAGCATTAGCAAACGACAGACACAGAATAATAAGCAGCAGATACAGTTGAAGTAAAAATAAATTAGCCCTCCTGTCTTTTTTTTTTTTTTTTTTAATATTTTCAAATATTTCCCAAATGATGTTTAACAGAATTTTTCACAGTATTTCTGATAATATTTTTTCTTCTTGAGAAATTCTTATTTGTTTTATTTCGGCTAGAACAAAAGCCATTTTAAAAACCATTTTAAGGTCAATATTATTAGCCCCTTTAAGCATTTTTTGGGATTTTTTGTCTACGGAACAAAACATTGTTATTGTAACGTTAAACGGATGCTGAAAAGGGAGGTGCGGATCCAAATGCAGGTTTAATGAGAATTGTCAGGTAAGCAACAGTCAACACAGGAGCAAACAGGTACATGCAGGTAAATCCAGAGTCATAGTGAAATAAAGGCTGACAATTTAAAAAAGCAGGCAGCAGACAACGTAAACAAACAAAACAAAGCAAGGGTCAAACACAGAAGGCAAGGAAAGGAAAAGGCGTCGTAATGTTTACAGTTCAGTATAACAAGACTCAGCATTGATGTAAGAGTGAGTGCTCTCTTTAAAGTCCAGGTAATAAATGATGAGCTTCAGCTGTGTCTTCAGCTAGGCCGTTAGAGATCTGCAGCTGTTAGATCACTGATAATCATAACAGTTACACAGTGACTTGCTTAATTATTCTAACTTGCCTAGTAACCTAGTTAAGCCTTTAAATGGCACTTTAAGCTGAACACTAGTATGTTGAAAAATATCTAGTCAAATATTATTTACTGTCATCATGGCAAAGATAAATGAAATCAGTCATTAGAAATGAGTTATTAAAACTACTATGTCTAAACTTATTTTAAACTGAAGAAATGTATACGGGAAGTAAAAATTCTGACTCTAACTGTACATACAACTCACCTGCAGGCCCAGGAGGCCCTGGAGGTCCAGGTAAAAATGAATTTGTCGTCATCATCATTTTTTCATTGGTCATCTGCTTATTGATCTCGGTGTTGCTCGACAATAAGGACATCTAAGGAAAGAAGAGATAAACAAAACACACAGATCATCACGCTGGCTCTCGTACTGCAGGACTGAACAGAAATGTGAAATAGATAACTTTTGGATTAAAAACTCAACAGAACTTATAATAAAAGATTTTAGTTAAGATATCCATGAAAAGTAATTTACAAATGAATATTTAATCAAATTTGAATATTGAATAGTTTATAGAGTTTAAAATGAAAAGTTAATTATTAATTTAATTCTTTACTCTTGCTCATGCCTTGACTCTCTCTATATGCAAACTGTGGAGTATTAATTGGAATGAATGTTCAGGAAAGTATCTTAATATTTCAGTACTAAAATAAAAAATCTATACATATAAAAAAATGTGTAAACAAATTAATAAACTGCTAATAAAAAGATTGTAATGAAATAAAAATAAATAAATAAATAAATAAAACCTTGGCCAGGCAAATCCAAACTAATGGGGCCCTGTCATACACCTGTGGCACAATAAGGCGCCAGATGTGTTTGGCACGATTTGTTGCTATTTTCAAACCAGCACAACCATAAATTTAACGTTTTGCGCCACCTTGTTTAAATAGCAAATCTATTTGCACCACTTTGTGGACATGCTGGTCTGAAAGGAGGCATGCTAAGGTGCATTGTTGGTGCGTTGCAATTTTGAGGAACTAAAATCGACCCTGCCATTAACCAACTAAAAGCTGGTCTAAATCCAGAACAGAGTGTGTTAGTTATGCATAATACTAATATTTGTTTTAATAAAAACAAGTTTTAAGAGTTTAAAAACAAGATTTGTCCACCTGTCAGGTTTTGGAGACGTCTGCATCACCATATGGGGCATAAGAATAAGAAGTGTGTTTGGAAATAACTCACACTTCATTTTTGTTGTTCATTTATTTGTTTGCTTGAAATTAGAACTTAATTACGAAATAGTTTTTAACAAACAAATTTGAATATGTAGGCTAATAGATGGAGTGCGTTCAACACCATTTCCTTACTCCACAAAAGTAAAGGAGTAAAGAGTAAAAGTAAAAAGAAATTAAAGAGGCTGAATGGAGGAGGCTTGTTCTTTATCCTTTCGCTGCAGATGGTCCGTTTTCTCGCCAGTGAAGCACTCAGTTTTTATACTTGCAAAGTTCACCATGTAAAAATCAAATGCGCCATGGTGCGACGTAACTGAATCTTAAAGGGAATGGGAGATGAGACTCTAATGGCTTAATGGACATAACGTTCAAAACACACCCATAACTCATTAAAAGAATAAGCACAACCCTGTTAGACTATTTGCCGGGGCGCAGAGCATATTTTTTCCATCCCTAAAACAGGACATGTCCTTAATGCTTTTGCACCATGAGTTTTAGACTGTGCCTAGATCGTTAAAGTAGAGGCCATGGTGTTTAATCTTTCCTGAGAAAAAATATTCAATAAATGATCTCTTTTTAGTGCTAAAATCAAATACAAAATAAACATAATTATCTTTTTAAAAAAAGTTACATACTGTAAAAATAAAAAAAATACTAAACTGAAAAGTAAAATATAAAAATGAGCTTATTAAAAAGTTTTAAAAATAAAATGATAAAATTAAAAAAATGCATACAATGAGATTAATCTTGTGATAAATAAATAAATAAATAAATAAAACTGATCTGAAAGCTATCCTAAAGTATACTCTGTTAGTCTGTAGAGGGAATATTCAATAAAGCATCCTAATCAATAAACAAAATAAAAAGTGATATCCTTGTTTTCATTTAATTTTTTCATATTGATAAGCTGCTTTGACACAATCCACATTGAAAAAGCGCAATAGAAATAAAGAGGAATTGAAGCTGGATTGTTTTTGACAGACTCATCACTATGAATGATTACTCTTTAAAAAAGTAAGCTCATTCAACAGCCTCGAGATCAGTAAATCAGCTTGAATCATTCCTTTCAGCATCTAACGGGAGGAACGGTTCAAATACGAGACATAACAAGATAAGAGAATTATAATTCAAACCAAAGTAACATGAGAATGTAAAGCGATCTATAAACTGCAACATCTGCGTTCATGCCGTTCACAAAAAAAAAAAAAAACAGGAAATCTTTGAATTATTCAGGTTGGTGCGTGAACCGAGATCAGTGGCTGTCTTTTACAAGAGTCTTTCACTTCAAAGAACTGGAGGTATCCATTACCTGCTAACCTCTGAGCTCTGGACATCAACACACACGCTCACACACACACACACACACACACACACACACACACACACACACACACACACACACAGAGAACTTTGAGGTTTTGCCACACGCAGTAGATACAACCTTAGGCCTGGTGCATAAATCTGTGTAAGTGTCTGTGTCCAGCGCTTTGCAAGCAATTTAAATCTCATTTGTCATTGTTTCTGGTTTTGATTTGTGTCTGGTTGCTTGAACTGCACATATTTCAATCCCATGTTGCACTGAGTGCCGATGTCAACCGCTCATGATGCTGCAAGACATTAGCCGAATTATGTGGCGTGAAGAACAGTCCGTTTCACAAAAAATACAACATCTAAAAGTTAAAATGAAACACCACAGTTCAGTTTCTGCTGACTAGTGTACTTTAAGGTGTGATTATACATCCCTGATATGTTAACAACACAATATCCTGTACACTAATAGTAGATTTAACCAACGTTTTACAAGTTTTATAGCGATATTGACCAGCATAGAGAAACCAAAGACAAACTTTGGGTGTTTTTTTTAAGCTTTGTACAGTATGTTTACCAAGACTGTAATTATCAAAAATACAAAGAAATCATTAATAATTTGAATAATTTTTTTTTTTTTTTAC